AAGTTTCACTTCCTTCTTCATTTCAGATTGAGTATTCTTCAATATTTCTAACTCTTTTCTGAATTCATTCAGAAGTTTATCCCTATCTTCCTTCGGTTCTTTGATTTTTTTTATGTGTTCTTTAAATTCACTGAGTTCTTTTATCATGTTTATAATTGTTCTTTTGAGTTCCATGTCCTGCATTATCTCTGGGGGGTTCTCATTGTACTCCTCTAGAGGACTATTGGTATTTGGTGGGGATATATTATTTTGGTTTTTCATGTTATTATTTTTTCTCTGTGATTTTGACATATGAATTTCTTTTGTAGTTTCTGATTCTTGTGTGAGACTCAGGCCTTCAAGTGTAGGTCTGCTTCTTTTTGTGAATTTTATGTGTCTTTGTGGTTTACTTTTTGGGCATGAAAGGCTGGTTTGTTTAAGCTTCTGATTCTCTCTTTTGATTTTATATTGGAGTGGCTAGATTGCTTTTGTCTTCAGGAATTCCCACAGAAGCCCAATTCAGATGAGGATCAGATATTTTCAGGCTTTCTCCTAAGGTCTGTACAGCTCCAGGAATGATTTTGGCCTTAAGAATTTGGGGGTTGGACTGGCCTGTGATCCTGGCCCAAGAAAGATGCTAGTCTAGGGCAGTTGGTGGCTGTGCCACCCAAAGATGCAAAGGCAGATGGGGCGGGAAGAGGACCCAAGGACTCCTGGGGACTGCACTGAGGCGTTGTGTTGGTCTGGATGCAAAGGATCAGGAAAAGGAAAGATCAGCCCCTGTGTCCCAGAAAGAGGCCGGAGGTAGTGCAGGCCCAGGGAAGCAGAGGGAGGTGAGGGTGGGGCAAAGCTCAGAATCAGTGCTCCTGGGGCCCAGGGAAGGCACTACCTTGGTCTGGATGAAAAGGATCAGGAAGCAGTATTGGCTCCCTAGGTGTCTGGGGCCCCAAGACAAGGAATTGGGCAAGACCCAAACTAGGAGGAGAGAACTGCAGGGGAGATGGGAGGGTAAATGAGGCTGGGAGAGTCAAGGCTTGGAAGGTGGAATGGACTTACTCTGGAGAGAGGTCTGTGGGTAGGAGAGAGGGCTGCTGGAGGGTGGTGCAGGCCCAGACCCAGAAGCAGTGCTTTTGGGGCCCAGAGAAGGCACTATGTTGGTCTGGATGAAAAGGATCAGAAAGCAGTATTGATTCCTCAGGTGTCTGGGGCTCCATGACAAGGAATGGGACAGGACCCAAACTAGGAGGAGAGACTGGTCGGGGAGATGGGAGGGTGAATGAGGCTGGGGGAGTCAAGGCGCAGAGGGCACAATGGACTTACCCGGGAGAGAGGTCTGCGGGTAGGAGCTATTTATTATTATTTTTATTTTATGTGTATGCATGCATTGCCTGCATGTAGGTAAGTGCACCTGTGTCGTGCAATGCCCGCAGAAGTCAGAAGAGGCTGTCAGACCCCCTGGGACTGGAGTTAGGGACAGTTGTTAGCTGCCTTTTTTGTGCTGGGATTTGAACCCCGGTCTTCTGCAAGAACAACTGAGTGTTCTTAACCACTGAGCCATCTCTCCAGCCCTGATGGTTTTCTTTAAAAAAAAAAAAAAACTTTCTATTTATTTATTTTGCATGTGTGCGGGGTCACATGTGTGCCATAGCACATATGCAGAGGTAAGAGGACAGCGTGCAGAAGAAGTTGGCTCTCTCCTCCCACCATGTACTTCCCTGGGGGGATCAAACTTGGATCTTCGGACTTATCAGCAGGTGCTTTTACCGACTGAGCCATTTTATCTGCACAAGACAATGATTTTCTTGAAAGAGAAAGTAAAGAATGAGGAGAGAGGACCTCCTTCCCATACTCTTCTTCAAGGAGAAGAAACATGACAGGATCTCAACGGAAGTCCTAGCAGCCAGCAACAATCAGCTCCTGATTGAAGGAGGCCATTTTGACTTTTCAACTTCAGTGGCTGGCTGACCAGACCTGTTAAAGGAAGCACAGGAAAGGGGACAACAATAGACTTCAAGGTCAGAATTATAACAATAAACAAATATAAAGAAAGAAAGAAAAAAGAAAGAATTCTATTAAGTCACTAAATTAGGGGGAGACTTGGCATGCAGCAAAAGAGAATTGGTGGTTCTTAGTAATAATTGGTTCTCAGGTTCTGAAACAAGCCTGCATTACAACTTCCTCAAACAAATGACTTTGTGGTAAAACTGAGTAATATTCATATAATCGAGGCGCAACAAATGCAATTATTCAAAATAAACTTTCTCAGGCCTGCAAACCTTTGCAGTGCTGTTAGGTAAAAACATCTGGAAAGAATCTTTTCCTTCATCTTCCACACTATCCCCTCCTCCTCAGCCATGCTTCCCTCTGGGCAGCCCGAAGAAAATCCTCAACTAATGTGAGCGCCAATGCTATTAAGATCTGGACAATTACTGTCAACTCAAAGTTACACAAAAAACACTTTCAACACTTATAGAAAACCTTTTTCTGCCTAGTATTTCAAGGTACTGAGGTACTGTAACAAAGTGAGCCAAAATTTTACTGACTTTAGGATTGTCTATTCCAATTGCTTTTTATATCTGATTTTCAGGTGATAGCTTATTTTATTAACATTTAGAAGAATTTGAGAGACATTACTTCAAAATGCTCTGCATCAAGCAGGGTTAATGTGTCTTAATTTTGTTGGATAATTGTCCTCAAGTATCTATAAAAATAGATAACAGATAGTTTTTATTTTGGGTCATAGAAAACTTGTTTGTTTCCTGAGTGATTGCTATTTATAAAGCAGCTTAAAGGGAAAATAGATAAAGTAAATAACCACAAAAAAGAAAAAAAAGATAATAATGACTCATAAAGAGGCTATTTCAAAACCAAGAGCCTCTGGCATCTATTTATATTTCAGTAATTATTTAAATTATAATGTATAAACTAGCTGCTCTTAATTGAGTAACTGGTATAAAAATCTTGTGTGCACAGTTTTTCACAACATATCACCATTTTGGTCTATGCTTTTCATCATGGAAGCAGAAGGAAATTATGCAAATGATAGAAATAGCAATTAATAATAGTTTTAGTAGTGAATATGGAGCATTATTTAAATCCTATTGCTTTGGGCAAATACTTTAGGTCTTACTCAAAAAAGATAAAAGTTAAATGAATAAGTCACATGGGAATTTTATAATGTCTGGCATATAATAGATGCTTAATATTTCTCGAATAAATAGAAACTCCCAAATAGACTTTTTATTGCAATTCTGATTAAGGCTTGTGAAATTTTCATGACAATTAATTTGTTGGTACTTCCTCCTGAACCTTGCTGACAATGTATCTTTTTGTGACAAGATACATTTATTTAGATTGAATTAAGGGGAGGAGCCTGGAGCGATGGCTCAATGGTTAAGAGCATTGGCTGCTCTTGCAGAGGACATGGGTTCGATTCTCAGAACCCACAGCTAACAGTTGTCTGTAACTCCAGTTCCAGGTGAATCCAATGTCCTCTTCTGACCTCCATAGGCATTGCATGACATGGATGCACTTACACATATATGCAGACAATATATCGATACATATAAAGTAAAAATAATAAAGAAAATATTTTTAAAAAGATTGAATTAATGCAGGTCTTCATGGTGCATGACTGAGATCTTAGCACTTGGAAGAATGAGCAAAGAGGATTGAGTTCAAGATTACCCTGGGTACATAGCAAGTTTGAGGCCAGCCTAGTCTAAAATGTGAGAGTGTACCTCAGATATAAGAAAACATTTCTTATAGCTTCATCAAAAGTATTAGAGGAATTTTACTAAATGAATCAAGAAAGGATTTTGCATAGTGCTAAGTATGGAGAGAAAAAAATGCACAGTGAAGACAATAAATACTGTCAATCATGTGCTAGTTTATTTATAATAAACAAAAAAAGAAAGTTTGGAAAACATTAAAAAATCCATTTATGCAGGAAGATCACTGTGCGCAAGCATATCTATGCATTTAATGTATGTCTCTGCAGATGTATATTCATGTACATATACATGCAGATATAGTAGAAATGTCAATTTGCTACTGTCGGGTTCCATTGACAAGCAGTAATGTGGAATAACTATGGAGAGGAAGGCACATGTTTCACTTCCCACATAAGTACAGTGTATGACTATCTTAGAGTAGAATGTATTCACTATCTTTGTTACACTGAAAATCAGAGACAAAAATACATGCTTCTTGCTTTTCAGGTACACTCATACAGCAGAAACTATAGTTCATAATACAAAGGAGAATGAGTTCGCTTCTACTGTGTGGATGAAATTACAAAAGATAATTTAATTAGAAGACAAAAAGAAGCCCATAAGCTAGCATCCAAAGTGAGACTTTTATGGTAATTAGCTCATATATTTTCCCCACATATGCCAAATGAATTGAATCCTGGCATTTGACAACCACCGAGACAGGAACTTTCTTTGCTGTCTGGGAAGAGAAGATAGTTCTCCTTTTCAAGGTCCTATGACTATGACTGCAAGCACTTATAGTGTCTATTAAGCCCATAAACTGCATTATAGGAAAGCAAAGCATATGACTACATGCTCCTACAAAGAAAATATTTGTAGTGTTTTGGGCTGGGTCTTACCGTTAAGTAGAGTGCTTATACATCTGTAAAGGGGTTGGAGGAATGTGAGATGATGCACAAAATGTAACTCATTCAGCAAGATGTCTAACCTGTCTGGTTGATATGGGTTGGGCACAATTTGATCATCCTTTTATGGTCAAAACCACATCCATTCACTCCTGCCTCTTCCATGGTATAAAAGAGGTCTGGAGGGTTCATAAAGTCACTTGGCTGAAAACGTCTAGGCGGCAAGTCATCCTCACATTGAGGTCTTCTGGCTCTGGAAACACCTCTAGCTCAGTCTTCTTCATCATGAAACTCAGACCCAGTGCCACAACGTTCTGCTCCAGGTCCAGGCCACCTCACAACCTCCGGGTGTTGCTGCTGCTGTCGTTGCTCCTCGCTGCGCTAGTTCCCACTACCACTGGACAATGTAAGAGATATTTAGAGGAAAATAAAAGTAGAGGGCATCTTCCCTGCAGCTGTGTCTAGGGGACTTGGGGTGGGGAGTGTGCAGGGAGACTACACTGGTATTTCTGTGGCTAGAGACTGTCACTATACTAGTAATTCTAAGATATACTTAAGGGCACTTCATATGTATGGGGCAATCTGCTAGGCTTGCTATTCAAGGTTTACAGGGCATATTCACAATGGCCATATGAAAAGGGTACAATTACCCTCAATTTACAGGTAAGGAAAGTGAGGAAAATAATTCACGATCACTAACTGAGTCATGTGTTCTACTATAGCTCATGTCAAAGATCCATATCTGGAAATGCGCTGTGTATGCTTGAACTCAGTCTCTGGAATTCATCCCAATGGTATAAGCACTTTGGAGTTGATCAGACCGGGAGCCCACTGTGACAAAGTGGAATTGATGTAAGTTCCTGGCTCTGTGTTATGATACTGCTATTAGAATGCCCGTTCTTCTCCTTGGCTACACTCCATTCTGTTCTGACAGGGAGGCTAGGAGATTCAGATAAGTCTTTTCTCTGTTGCAGAGCTACACTGAAGGTTGGGAAGAAAATCTGCCTGGATCCTACAGCTCTTGGAGTCAAGAAAATTGTCATGAAACTGTTGGAAGGTTAATCTGTTGCTTCTTAATCTGTTGGCTTTCTGCCAAATCATTTTGATGTCCAGGAAACCTAGGATTTTGAGATTTTGATTTTCTAGAGTCATTTCTTATTATGAAAATGTATAATTTTACATTTTGTCTCAGAAATTGTGTTTTATTTTGAGAACATTGGTTAAAAGATGATACAAAGAAGATAAAATGAGTAAAATGAGTGAATCTCTTTGTAACATATAATTTACGGTTTATTATGTAAATCTTGACTAAACAATGTGTTTTGCATTTCTTTATTTGAAGTTTTCTTTTCAAACACATTCATGTCACATTTTCTTTCTGTATTTTATTTTTAGGATAGATGCACACATGGTGATTAATATGTTTCACAATGGGATCTCACAGAGACAATCATGGCACATTAGCTCAGCAGATGCTTTTTCAAAAATTTAGGCATTTAGAGGTTTTTCAGTGTCTTAGACCTAGAATTCCTGGTTTCAAAGCAATCTCTGACACATTTTCTGGTATTTATTCTAACCTTCAAACCTTCACCATAATAAAGTTGTAAAATGTAAGACTTGTAAGCAGTGGTTATTTACTTTTTAAGTGAATATGTTCCAACATTAGGAGCGCAAAAAGTACATGATGAAACGGGGATTAATACACTATGTTTAAAAAAAATCTCCACTATTTTCTGCAGCAACAAAATGTGATAGACTTTATCGCCTATCTGCTGTTAAGTGTTTTATCCAGGTGTGAGAGCTTTAATAGTCCCTCTCCCTCCCTCCCTCCCTCCCTCCCTCC